AACTTACTACCACAGACGTCACCTGGTAGGAGGACAAACTTACTACCACAGAGTCACCTGGTAGGAGGACAAACTTACCACCACAGAGTCACTTGGGAGGAGGAAGAACTTACCACCACAGAGTCACCTGGTAGGAGGACGAACTTACCACCACAGAGACACCTGGTAGGAGGATGAACTTACTACTACAGAGCTACTGGGTAGGAAGAAGAACTTACTACCACAGAGTCACCTGGTAGGAGGAAGAACTTACCACCACAGCATCACCTGGTAATCCTGCCTGTCCTTTTGGCCCCATTGGTCCTGTAGTACCCTATACAACCAAATAAAATACATACAATAAACAACCTAAGTCAATGTACTAAAATAATAAGTTCTTGAAAAATCCGTATCTTTAACAAATATATAACTTTAAAACAACAAAAAATAAAACCAGAGACATTGAATAACATTAAAAAAGAAGGCAATTAGAAATATGAAAAAAAAATCAAAGATAGAAAACTACACATGTACATTTATATACAAAACTGTAATAAATTTTAACACTGAGAAAGAAAACAAAACAACACTCATACACAAAGAGATAAACAAGTACATACATGTAAAACATTTACAGAGAAGTACTGTAATAAATTTGATATTAGCAAGATTAGTAGCTTGTGAGGTTATTTGTTTCATTACAGGTTGTAGAGAGTAAGAGGCACTTTAGGCTTAGGTAAAACATGTATTGTTTCTATCCGTTAGATCCTATCTTAACACCAGAACTCTTCTGTTCCATTTTTAATCTCATTTTACTTCTCTATTGCTCATAAATGTTTGCAGAAATCCATATGGAATCTATTGTCAAATTAAGAAAATCAGCTTTGATTTACCTATAAAAATGGTGTCATACTTACAGGTGTTCCAGGATCTCCTGGGATCCCTGATGTCCCCTTAGCTTTGATTTACCTATAAAAATGGTGTCATACTTACAGGTGTTCCAGGATCTCCTGGGATCCCTGATGTCCCCTTAGCTTTGATTTAGCTATAAAAATGGTGTCATACTTACAGGTGTTCCAGGATCTCCTGGGATTCCTGATGTCCCCTTAGCTTTGATTTACCTATAAAAATGGTGTCATACTTACAGGTGTTCCAGTATCTCCTGGGATCCCTGATGTCCCCTTAGCTTTGATTTACCTATAAAAATGGTGTCATACTTACAGGTGTTCCAGGATCTCCTGGGATCCCTGATGTCCCCTTAGCTTTGATTGACCTATAAAAATGGTGTCATACTTACAGGTGTTCCAGGATCTCCTGGGATTCCTGATGTCCCCTTAGCTTTGATTTACCTATAGAAATGGTGTCATACTTACAGGTGTTCCAGGATCTCCTGGGATCCCTGATGTCCCCTTTTGACCTTTTATTCCCTGAAAACCATTTTAAGAATAAAGTCAGTTTTATTTTATTACCAGTATCCTGCTACATAACAAAACAATTGTGTTAAGATTCAACAAACACATCCATGTGTTTATTACCAGTATCCTGCTACATAACAAAACAATTGTGTTAAGATTCAACAAACACATCCATGTGCTTATTACCAGTATCCTGCTACATAACAAAACAATTGTGTTAAGATTCAACAAACACATTCATGTGTTTATTACCAGTATCTTACTACATAACAAAACAATTGTGTTAAGATTCAACAAACACATCCATGTGTTTATTACCAGTAATCCACAAGATAATAAAACTGGTGTGTCAAAGATTGATAAATACAGCCACACAATTTAATGAATTCAATTTAAGCAAGTATATAATGTACTGTTCTTACCTGTAAACCATGCAATCCGGGCAATCCAATGTCTCCTTTGGGTCCACTGGGGCCCTTTAAGAAAAATAGGACCATTTAGCTATTATAAAACTTAGTTTTCATGTCACGTTGGATATTTAAATGAGAAAGACAGGCCAAATAAATATATCATAATTTACTGTATTTGTTACGATTATTCAACTTTATTTGCAGGTACAAAACACAACCATTAACAAGTTTTAAATTAGTAAGTTTCTGATACCTTATTACAACCAATATTATCATTACCTTTACCTTTATATTAATATGATTTCTTGTCACATTATTCTAGTTTTTAAATATTCAACACACTGTATACTTTTACTTTCACACACATTTAAAAAAAACCTGTAATGTTGTATTAGTATATTTTCATAATTAGCAGTGTCTATCCTAAAACATTGTGTTTTTATTCTTAAATATGATTTTCAACATGACTGTAATCATTCTATGCAATTTCCACAATCCTATACAAAATTGTCACAAGTACCGTTGCTCCTTTTGCTCCTGGAGGGCCAATTGGTCCTGGTAGTCCCTGCAAACCCTGAAACAAGAGTTGTTACATTTAATTGATCCCATGCAAGCAGTGATTGAAAATGACAAAAAAATAAAATTTAAGCTTCAGAAAATAAAGCACAGAGTTATTTATGTCTAAACAATTATGGATTAAAGGTAAGATTTAAAAAATTCATCCATCATCAACTTATGTAATAAGTTATTGTTGCATTCAAACTCATGGAGAAACTTAGTCAACATAAAAATACATGAAACATTTAATTCATCTTCCCTGTAAAACGATGTGGGTTACCTCAGTAGTAAAGCCGTTGAAAATTTGGTCAACAAATTCATTAACACGATGTAGCATTTTCTCACTCATATCTCTACAATGTTACAGAATTTTAATACCCTCTTTTCTTCAGGCATAACTCTTTAATTTTATAGCCAGCATGTAAGGAAGAATATTGGTATGCAAGTGAAATAAACTCTTACAGGAAGTCCAGCAATTCCAGGTTCTCCTTTAGGACCTATTAACCCTGGCAGTCCTTGAAGACCTTGTTCACCCTTCTCACCTGGAGGGCCAGGAGGACCCAGAGGACCCTAAAAATGGACAACATCAAGAAGTTTATATTTTACTATTTTATGAAACTACTAATGTTTCTAAACAATGAAGTGTTTGATAAAAACTACTGTTTTATTGTTATAATACTATTAATTAAAAAATGTTGATAGATAAGCAATGAACATTTTCTATGCAAAGAGCACAACAATACTGGTTACTTACTTCTGTTCCATTTAATCCAGGTGGACCTGGTGGACACACTTGACATTTATTAATATTCTCTGGCTTCTTTTTAGGCTGAAAAACCAAACATTACTTTTATAGTTGTTGTTTTTTTTTTTTTATTCTTCTGTTGAATTGTTATACATTTTTAATATGTATGTAGATCTCTTCATGGTAAACCATGTTCCTTAATGTAAAACATCTAGCTACAGCAACACTTGTTACAATGTTATGGTATGCTTCTCTTCTGGTGAACAGATAGCAAATATGGTGAAAAATAAAGGACTTTCTTCAGTCACAATCCTCTTAGTCGGCATATTACTTCCATCCTGTGATGTTTCACTCAAAATATATCTCCAGTATTTAGATTTTAATGAGATGTTTCACAAAAGTTCTTAGCTTATAAAAAATAAAAATTTTACTAGCTTAATATTTAATAACAGTAGAATAAACAGTATTTCAGACAAAATATTGCTTGGAATAAGTCCAGCCAAACTGATAAGTCCTGTTGCTCAATAAAAAATCTAAAATGGAAATTTACACATTTATGGTTTATAATCACTATTAAAACTGATAGCTATGCTCTTTAGAAGTTTAGTTGGAATGTCTCAATCACCAATAAAACTTACAGGTAATGCATCACTCCCTATTATTACTTATATTAAAACTTACAGGTAATGCCTCACTCATTATTATTAGTATTAAACTTACAGGTAATGTCTCACTCACTATTAAAACTTAAAGGTAATGCCTCAGTCATTATTAAATCTTACAGGTAATGTCTCACTCGTTATCATTAGTATTAAACTTACAGATAATGTCTCATTTACTATTAAAACTTACAGGTAATGCTTCAGTCATTATTAAATCTTACAGGTAATGCCTCAGTCATTATTAAATCTTACAGATAATGCCTCACTCACTATCATTAGTATTAAATCTTACAGATAATGCCTCACTCACTATCATTAGTATTAAAACTTAAAGGTAATGCCTCAGTCACTATCATTAGTATTAAAACTTACAGGTAATGCCTCAGTCATTATTAAATCTTACAAGTAATGCCTCACTCCCTAACATTAATATTAAAACTTACAGGTAATGTCTCACTCACTATTAAAACTTACAGGTAATGCCTCAGTCATTATTAAATCTTACAAGTAAT